TCAACAATCGATAAATAAATCATAGTTGCATGCATAAACGATTTGAACGTTGCACGAGTGAGAGTGGTCTACATAACAAAAGAACTATTTAATACTTTATTGAATACGAAATGCAATTGAATGCAAACACTCCGTACAAAACAGTTCAATAGTGTTAAAATAATTGAAGCCCAAGTCGTATATGAGCTCGTATTAAGTATAAATTACGCACGAATAGTAACGCAGCAAAATAAAGATACGAGGCAACTGTAGATGTGTCGATGTGTGGCCCGTGTGAAATGTGAACCTTTATCGGCTACGTTCAACAGTTGGTTCAGTTGAAAATGCAAATGCTGCTCATAAACGAAAGCGAACTATTACATTTTGTTACAACAGTCCAACCAGAATATTATGAACGTATCCATTTATGTTAATCAAAGTAACAGTCATTCGGTTGCGTATACATTTCGAAATATAATGCGTGTTTGTGTCTGTGTTTCGGGTGGAGATAGTTTTGAATCGGCACAATATGTTATGTTGGTTTCCTGATGCTTGTCAATGCATCATTCTACATCGATGTAATTGCAACATGAATGCACTCATTTCAAAATCTCAAATGTCACAATCAACTCATGTGTCTTCGTTGTATAAATCCGCTTAATTTTTGCCATCTGAATCCATTTTGATGTAATTTACATGCATCCCACTCATATACAACTCGTATATGTCCACATAAATTTGGAATGTTCAAAGATTCAAAATGTAATTGAATTGACAAAAAATAAAATTGTGCATTACGTTTGGAGCGCTTCCAGAATCATTCAAAATCAGCGCATTTCAGCACATTTAAATAGCGCCATGTACACACATTCCCCATGTGGAAAAAAGATTGATTATCGCCTTCAAACTGTCTAAATGTGATTGTTTCATCAAAAACCAGACAGATTATAGTCAATGTTTGGTTTTAGACGACTCTACGTCCCAAATTAGCCAACTGACTTCATTTGAAAAAGTTGTATAAAAAAACTGGTTTCGACTTAGCCTCTCTACATATACATTCGGTTGACTGTTATTCACTTTTTTGCACACGGGTACATTAACAACGTTTAACCGTGTCACACAATAAAATGCCAAATAAGTTCAAATTGAAATAAACAAACAAATGAAATTCGTCCGATATAATGTTGCATATGAAGACTACAAAGTACATATATGTTGTTATAGACAAAAGGCGGAAAGAAACAATTACACACCAATATAGTGTGTAGAGAATAAGCACGCTCTCGGCACAGGCACAATCCACGTTCACACTCAGTAATTATGAATGTATACAGAGAGACCGTGTGCATCGATTTTCATTACAAAAAAAAAGTATAATTATATTTAAACAAAAACAGAGAACAAGCAGCATTTACCACCATTTGAAAGAACCGTCATCAGTTCAAATTCAGAGTGTCAAATGGGAAACATTTTTAACTAAGGATCAACTTCATTCATTATTTAACTGTTGCATGTTTCATGTTTTTATGGTTGTTTTCATTTTCATTTTCGAGAAAAAAAAAAAACATAACTGAATATTGCATAATTAACCAAAGTGCATATCGAAATGAATCGAAACGCATAAGCTGGCTCCAAACATCGTTTTATATTAATAGAACTGATTTTTTACGCAGATTGAATTTGAAAAGTATATTTCTTGTACTTGTGTTTTCATTCTTGTTCCATGGAACGTATCATTATTCTAATATGTGATTTTGGACAAAGTTCAAGTTATCTTTCTTCATGTCATTCTTCGCCAATTCTATTTCGTTGTTGTATTCGTATCATGAATAAATTATTTGAGGACAACGCCTCTGAAATTCTCCGAAATCTATGTTGCTGTTGAATTTTCTTATGTACATCGTGCGTCGGTTCGATGCGATTCAATTTAATTACAATTGCATTGCGGCCCGAGAGACAAATCAATCGACAAGTTGACAGCATCAAGATACACCAGAACACACATAAAATAACACCAAAGAGTATATATATCAGTAACGTAGCGACACATCCTCTATTGCAAATGCAAAACATTTGAATTATAACAATAGGCTGTTCACATTTTGAATACATTGAAAATTGCACACTTTCCCTCTCTCTCTCTCTCTCTCTCTCTCTCACTCTATTTCTGTGGTGATCGTTATCTTTTATGTTGACGTAGATATTATTGTGGCTGCTGCTCCCATCGATATTGCTACCGTATTTTAACACACGAATACTAAAATCCGATATAAAACTTTTGTGAATCATGCAGAAAGAACGCATTCGTGAGGCGCGTTTTTTCACTCTCTTCTTCATACGAAACATACATACAAACAACTACTTGAGACTGATTAATGACTTACTTTGGTATTCGATAGTATAGTTTGTTCTTTGGCAAAATGCGAGAAAACGCACGTTTTCTTTTTTTTAAATCTTAGCAAAAGTCCAATGTACGCGGTTTAATGGACTCGTTTCCGATTTCACATTTTAAATAGTAATTTTTTTTTTCTTGACGGTCAATTTGGTTTCCACGTTCGTTGTGTTGTGTGTATTTCTGTTTGTATGTATTTTTCTTCATTTCAAGTTTCTTCCTCTTCTTTTTCTCACTCTCACATTGCGCTCGATCGTGATGATTGCGCTGATGGATCTTGGTGCGTCTTACATTGTAATATTTATATTCTGGCGTGTTGTTTTTACGACCATTTAATATCTTTCCTTCTTCGTTCGTCTTTCGTATATATATCTTTTTTCCGTTTTCTTGTATATTCAAGATTCCCATGCGTACATTTAATACATAGTTAATTCCTCAAAATTCTTGGGATCTGAATTACGCGCTCCCTTCAAATTTATTTAACTATTTTCAAATTTCTTCGTACGTGTTAACTACAAACAATAAACGAACTGTACTTTTTATTGTGTGAGTGTAAAATCTACAGAAGAAAATACAGAATATGACTATTATGACGGAATATTATGACTATGTATGTGTATAACAAGCAGTGTTCAAATACAATAACAAAATGTCATTACGAATTCAAAATGAATTACATGATGTTTTGCAAATGCCGTTTTATTTTCTCGGGTCGATAAAATTGGAACAATTGAAATGCCAAGAGCAATTCTCAAGTCATGAACTATCACTACTGACTCTGTAGCTGTCTATAACTTTTTTCTTCTTTTTTTAAACAAGTCAATTTCATGGATTTCATTTAGCACGAATATTTCAATTTTAGTGAAGAACTCAGCTCTGTCTCTATTCTCTGGGCTGAAAGTCATCCATTGCCAAAACAGTGAATAAATATCATGAATACGAAATGTTGCCGATCCAAATTGGATCAAAATGTAATTGAATACAAATCGCACCATTTCTTTTCCCATGAATATAAATAAAAAAAAGCACGTAGAATCTGACATTAATTAACGAACAAAATAAAACAAAACATAAGATTTGAATCACAGTCCATAAAACGTTTACAAACGATTTGGATAAGTGTTTTTTTTTTTTTTTGGGAGAGGGGAGAAGTATATTCTAATTTGAACTGAATTTTCCCGATATTTTTTTTATTCTTTATGACTTCATTTGTAAATGTATGTATTATAATCGTAGCACGGTCAACGGCATTGATGATGACAATAATGGGCATAATAATCGTCGCCATAGCTAAATGCCAAAATATATATATTGAAAAGAGTAGAAGAAATTATAGCAAAAAAAGAACATAGTAATCACTTCCATGCCCGATTCCGTTATTTCCATTGATATGTAACGAGCCGCTGAAAAATGCTCGTTGATTCCGTAATCGTGAAAATGGTCAAAGTTCTCTTTTTTTCATGCCATAACATTGAAGTGATTTCAATGCCGAAACGGATAAAGTAAAATAGAGAGAAAATACAAGCGCAACGATTTAATTCGCTGAAATAACTATAATCGCATGCCGTTAGATGACGAACACCGGGCTGATTCATGTAGAAATTTGGATATGGCATCCATTGCTGTTCAAGTGTGAATAAAGAAACGATTCATAGCATCGAAAAAAGTCTCATGAACGAAAAAAAGAAAGAGAGACGACGGTGTGTAGAGTAATCGTGCAATTGACTGAGCCATCAGAGTGTCTAACAATTAAATTATTTTATTCTTGTGATTTTCAATGTAGTTTTTATTTATCCATACTCTGGCGTTAGTTTAAATTAATTTTTTGCTTTCTTCGCAAGTCATAAAAACAAATGTGCATTGGGCAACACACCACATCACATTCGTTCGTTGAATGAACCAAAATAATTTCTTGATAACATATTTATTTCAAATTTTAGTGCTAGTCGAACGAAGTGAAAACTCAAAAAAAGCGAACCATATCATGGCAAGACTTTTACAATTACAACGTTATCGAAGACTGGTTGGATTTATTGGCTCATTTCAGTTCGTTTCGGTTTTCTCCTATCTATTCATCTCTATCCACATAGTTCCATGATTTGAAACACGAATTGGGTTGTATTGCAAGAAAATATTCGATCAACTCGTCTTCTATAATTGTATGAGGAGTATGTGAATATACATTTGCCCGAAATTAATTTAAAAAAAATGGTATATTATCCCCGATTTATTTGTTTTAACGATGATGATTCGGAACATATTTCGTAATGCACAACCAGATGTTGAACAAAGCGCACAGAAATTTGGATGAGAACAATACAATGCATGCTTTACATAGTTCCGAAAGAATTATCGGTAGCCAAAAAGTTGTGCCAATACTTGTTACTGTACGAAACACATCTATTGTTCTAAAAATGGCTTATGACGCAATCATTGTGACCACACATTTACGCATTCCAATTTCCATTTGACTTATTATTCTTATTTGTTATCGTCAATTGAAAATGTAAACCAACACAATGTTCGATTTGAAACGTATAAATCCGCTTGACCAACAATCTCTATCCACTGAATTCCAATTGATAACTGATGTTCATTTCTTTTTTTTTCTTCTTTCATTTTCATATAGGTTTACGTAACAGTTCGAGCAACAGACAATGGACGACCACCACTCGATGATGTATGCACATTTAAAATTACCATCGAAGACATAAACGATAATCCACCCGTGTTCGATAAAGTGAAATATGAACAATCAATACCAGCCGATTTGCCAGTGAATAAAGTTGTGATGCCAATCACATCGTACGATTTTGATGATGGTGAAAATAGCATCATCAAATACGAATTGATGCCAGAAAAAGACTATCGATACTTTCGCATCGATGAAAACAATGGTTTAATTTACCTATCGCAACCAATTGATCGTCGCCCGGGCGCATATTACAATGTTGTTGTGCGTGCTTCCAATATTGTACCCGATAGTCCGCAAGATGCTCAAACCGATGTACGCATTAAAGTTATTGAATCTCACAAAAAGCCGCCAATTTTCTTGGATTGGCCCACATCACCGATTTATTTGCAAGAGAATTTTACTGATTATAGCAAAAGTTTGGTGACCGTGCGTGCAATGTCGAATGTACCCGATAAATCGGGTGTCATTTTTGAATTGATAACCGGTCGTACGGAGCAGACAAACAGCAAAAAAACATTTGTGTTTAATCAAAGTGATGACACAGCAACAATCAGTTTAGGTAAATCGCTCGATTACGAGGTCATCACCGAATACACGCTAACAATGAGCGTCCGAAATACATGGGATTCAAGCGCTGAAGTTATCATCAAAATTAAAATCGAAGATGTTAATGATAACATTCCGTATTTTACGGAAGTTACAAGTGGCTCGATTTTGGAAAATGAACCACCCGGTAAGTCTTGTTTTGAATAAGTCATTTACACACAAACATCCCATTCGATACGGTTTCGTTAACTGTTGTTACATTCGATTTTCAATAAATCGATATTAAGAATAGAATACATTTGAATTAATAGTTGCGTAGCAACACGTTCAATTCTCCAATAAATGGATAGATTAAAAAAATAAATAAATTCATTTGAATTAATTACTTGACAGGTACTCCGGTAATGCAGGTCGGTGCATTAGATATGGATGGAACATCGGCAAATAATATTGTTTCATTCGAATTGGCTGATCATACGGATCTCTTTACCATTGATCGACATACTGGTAACATCACAGCACTTACAACATTTGATCGAGAAGAACGCGACTATTATAATGTAAAAGTAATTGCCACCGATAATGCGCCATCGAGTCTTTACAATTCCGGCAAACCAAATGTGGGACAACAAGTATTTCGCATTGAGATTGCGGATAAAAATGATCATGCACCACATTTCGAGAGTCCACAGTATGTTGTCAGCAATTTACTTGAAGATGTTAATCAAAATTACAAAGTTGTTGAAGTGAAAGCGGTTGATGACGATGCAGCATCGCAAATTGTCTATACCATTGTTAACGGAAACATTGGCAATGCATTCAAAATTGACAGTATTACCGGTATAATAAGTGTGAACGCCACTCTGGACTATGAAAATATTACGGACTATTCGTTGCGTGTACGTGCTTATGATGGAATTTATGATGATTTCACAATGGTTAAAATATCAATCGAGAACATAAACGATAATCCACCAGTATTTGTGCAAGAAAAATACAGCACTACAATAAACGAAGAACAAATTATTGAGGAATGCATTTTGAATATTGAGGCTTTTGATCCGGATATCAAAGACCGATCAGCACCACAGTACATTAAATATTTTATTGTTAAAGAAGAACAACAACCATTATTATCAATTGATACAACTGGATGTTTGCGAACACTGAAGCCGCTCGATCGCGATGCGCCAGCTGGGCATAAAAATTGGCAAATTGTTATTGCAGCGGTCGATGAAGACGGAAAAGGTTTGAGGAAATCAACCGAAGTAATTGTCACATTGAATGATATTAATGACAATGCACCATTCCTAACGAATCATATGCCAGTCATTTGGTATGAAAATCAACAAGCTGGAAACATTGTTCAATTGACAGCCGACGACTACGATGAACCGAAAAATGGTGCACCATTCTCTTATGCCATTGATTCGAATGCAAGTGATGATATTCAACGGAAATTCAGTGTGGTTAATGAGAATTTAGTTGCATTAGATGTTTACGATCGTGAAGAGCAAAAGGAGTATTTTATTCCGATTATGGTCACTGATTCGGGCTATCCAGATCACATGAAAAATGTCAGCATTTTACATTTGATTATTGGCGATGTAAATGATAATCCAATGAAAGAAGGCAAGAGTAACATTTTTGTATACAATTACAAGGGCGAAGCGCCCGACACCGAAATCGGTCGTGTTTATGTTGAAGATCCGGATGACTGGGATTTGCCAGACAAGATATTTAAGTGGAAAGAAACCGATCATCGATTTGAATTGAAAGACGGTATGATTACGCTGCGCGAGGGAACACCGCCGGGCGTTTATAATCTATCCTTCACGGTAACCGAAGAAAGTCTGTTTGTACCAAGGCACAGTGTTGATGCTCAAGTGACTGTTACAGTGAAAGAGATACCCGAAGAAGCTGTTGACAAAAGTGGTTCGATTCGTCTATTCGGAATAACCGCTGAAGAATTTATCAGACCAAAACGACAAGCAAATGGTAACGAAATTAGCTTGAAAGATCAATTCGGAAATAGTTTGGCTCGTATACTAAATGTATCAATTGAGAATGTTGACGTTTTCACTGTGTTAAAGAATGACAACGCATCTGTATTGGACGTTCGATTCTCGGCACATGGCAGCCCATACTATGAAGCTGAACGACTCAATGGAAAAGTGCTGTTGAACCAGCATGCGCTTGAAAAGGAGCTTGGAATTCGAATGTTAATGGTGAATATTGATGAATGTCTTATCGAGCGTAACAAATGTCAAGGAGCCTGCACAAATGTGCTTCATAAATCTAGTGTTCCATTGCTGGTGTATACAAATACAACATCATTTGTGGGCGTAAATGCATTCATTCAGGCCGAGTGTACGTGTAGTGCTCCTGCGCGGCCTGTCTGTCTAAACGGCGGAACATTGCTCAGCGATTTTTGCATATGTCCAGAAGGTTTTGAAGGACCACATTGTGAGATAATCAGTGTTGGTTTTAATGGCAATGGATATGCCATGTATCCATCGATCAATCCTTGCGATTCTATGAAAATAACACTTGATGTTATTCCAAATTTAGATCATGGATTAATCATGTACATTGGACCCATTAATTATAATCCATTGTTGCCAGTATCCGATTTTCTGTCACTCGAACTGATCAATGGATATCCAGTTTTGTATATCGATTATGGCACTGGAACAACGAAAATCGAACACAAACAGATTAAATTCGTGTCCGGAAAATTGCATCAAATTGAAATTTTATTACAAAAAACGAGCATTGAAATGACCGTGGACAATTGTAAAATGTCGAATTGCTTGACGTTGGGCGCGCCAGTTGGACCAAATGAATTTTTAAATGTAAATGCACCGCTACAATTGGGTGGTGCTGCCACTGATCTCAGAGCACTTGCAATGCGTTTCAATTGGGCCCATATACCGACAACCAAAGGCTATCACGGATGCATCAAGAATTTAACAGTTGATGGTCGTACATACAACATTGGTACGCCAAGCTTATCAAAGAATGCCGATCCAGGATGTCAACGTTCGGTTGCGGTTGCCGTTTCATTTGGAATTAATACAAACTTTTTGATTGCAATTCTTGTATGCTTGGCCATTTTGCTTGTTCTATTCTTGGCTGTGGTCGTACACAAACGACACCACGACGGATGGCATGAAAAAGATATGGACGATATTCGCGAAACAATTATCAATTACGAAGATGAAGGTGGCGGCGAACGAGACACCGACTACGATTTAAATGTACTGCGATCGCCTCCAATCTATGAAGATAAATCATTTGTCAAAGATCATATGTTGCGTCAAGAGCCGCATGACGTTGTACCCGATATTGGTGGCTTTTTGGTTGACAAAAAAGACACATGCGATAAAGACACCGATGCCCATCCACTCGACGATGTTCGACATTATGCATACGAAGGTGATGGCAATAGTTCACGCAGCAGTCTATCTAGTTTGGCATCTTGTACAGATGATAATGATTTAAGTTTTGATTATTTGTCGAATTTCGGGCCAAGATTCCGAAAATTGGCCGATATGTATGGTGAAGAACCGTCCGATGTTGATTCAGCTGTTGACGACGAAGACTGGAGAATATGATCTTATTCAATGTACGTGTATTCACGTTATTAAGAACGAAATCCCAACAAAAACAACAACAACAACTAAAAACTATCTACAAAATCGAATAGCGAACATTTATTATGAATCATTTGCATCACGAAAAAATTGAATGCGAATAAAACACAAAAACAACAACAAAAAATACAAACTCAATTCAATCGAACATTTTCAATCTAAGGTGCCAAAATCATCTCAATGATAAACATCAAGCAACAGCGCACCATCACCGAATAGATTGAATTACGTCGAACAAAGCAAGCATGAAACAAAACAACAACAAAAACAAAAAGGCAGCAACAACAGCAGCTAATAAAAATAGTTCTACGTTAAATTATAAAACATAAGGAAAACTCAATCATATAAGTAGTCGCATCGCCAAAGACTTCATTAACTGACAAGTAAGTACGAACCGCTTGAAGAACATATTATACTATTTGCATTGCTCACTGTTATCCAATTTGAATCATAACTATTCTTATTCCGATATGGTTGATTATGCTCATATTTTTTCTTTCTCCGTCTATCTCTATACGTACATCGGAAATATTAAATGTTAAAGAGGCGTCGTATGCGATTTCAATCCATGGCATTTCAATTGAAAAATGCCTGTGTGCACTACCACAGTTGTGAACCACTGTGGGTTTTTTTTAAATGGAGTATAATGTTTGAGTGCGTACATGCGTGTGTTTGTTTGTGTGTGTTTTTTATTCATTTAGATACTTCAATTCGGACTAACCAGATGAATCCCACTGACTTTTTACGTCAAAAAAGATTATTATCTGTTGGGTTTGGAGAAGTGCACAGCATGCAGTACATATTTTCAAACGCTGTCTAATCCAACACATTAATTTCAATCATATATGTTTTCGATTTTATTCAACTTCAATTCTCCCTGCTCGCGTTCATTAAATTCAATTAAATCACTGTTGTATGAAGAAGAAAAAACTCAAACACGCACGCAGCCATGCAAACTGTTCGCTATAAAGAACATATTTGGAATTCAGACTGTATTTTTTGTTTTTGTTTTTTGATTAAACGTCAAAATGATAGCTCTTCATAGCCCAGGGCAATTATTTTTACAAATAAACAAGTTTGGTCGAGATAATTCAAACAGCATATTGAGAAGAAAAAAAATCCCAATAAATTTTCCAAATAATTTATCATTTTATTGAAATTAATTGACTTATTTTTCGGGATAAGAGGGACAGAAGAGAGTTTGGGATGCATTACGTGTAATCACTATAAAACGAAGAAAAAAAGGGAGAAATGCAGGCAAGCAGTAAGTTATTTCAACAAACCACCATCATTCCGTGCCACTGAATACAATGAACTTTTAATCAGCATCTTGAATTCAATCGAAATCATTTCGTTGGTAGAGATAGCTTAACAGATAAAGTAATTGATCGAAATAAAACGAGAGCTATAAAAACACATTTTGATCTTAAAATTCCCAATAACATTTAAGCAAAACATTGTCTGAATAAATGCATCGGTGATTGACAGGACCCGTAGCGTGTCCATTCCCCTGTTCACATCAATTGAATCAGCAGAATATCAACAAAGGAGTAATCGTTTTCATTCGATTGCTCTTTATTTTGTTGTCAGATGCATTTGCACTTTTATTTGGAATTCTTTTGACTTTCGAAAAGACAATGATAAAAGAAATGAATATGCAATTGATTGGATGCATTTCGAGACCAAGTCATTGATGTTGTCACTTGCAATGAGTCAGTCCAATTTCTTTCTATCTGCACAAAAGAGTTTGGTTTGAATGGAATCAGGTATTGAATGTACAATTCCAAGATATATATTTACTTGAAGAAAAAAAAATAGTTACTTATTATATTAGAAAGAGAAAGAGAAAAGCGATGAAGATAATTTCCACTTTGAAATTCATTCTTGATTTTAACTTCATTCTATTTTGTCGGTTAGAAACTTGACTTAAAACATCTTTTGTTAAGCATTACACGCCGCCGATTTCTATATTTGGAGAAGTTTTTGTCTATATACAACTCACAGATTATATGATTCACCAAAGTGCCTTACGAATTTTTTCTTCGTTTTTTTACTTTCCATTCTACATCATTTGAGCATTGATCAACTCAATGTGTCTCGACGATAATATTTATATAGTTATGACGAAGTATTTGTATAGAAAATGAAAAATCCAGCTTGATCGCGGATGCTACTTAAATTTTGAGATGAATTTGTTTGTTTGTACGGTCAAATTTGATAAAAAGAAGATATTCTCTTCAAAAATGGTTTGGTCCAAATGTTTGGCAAGTAATTGAATCTAAAGAAACTTCGCTCAAAGCCATGATACAACTGTCCTATTTTTCCATATGTTCTATATTATGTCGGGCTTACAACACCCTTCGTGTGCAAATGTATGATAACGAACGAATATTTATTATATTTACCAAATAACGAACAAAAGCTTTGGATTTAAATTTTTCCAGCACTGTTTCAAATTAATTTTCTGTGTTTAAACATTCATAACTATAAAGCAAACAATTAAAGCAACAACAACGACAGGTATGAGAAAGAGTTACCGCTGCACACACCAAACTCAAAGTACTCATCGAATAGTCAATGACTCTCAAAATAAACCAAAATCGTTGTTAACGCAAACGGACGTTTTTTTTTTTCATTATTCGTTTGTTTCATTTTGCTCTCAACTGCTTTCCGTTTATTGGATTATGCAAGTTGATGAAGGATTCATAAACAAACCAACAAAAAAATAAATAAAATAAAGGGAGTATATCTAGGGGATAACCATGAATTGCAGATCGAATAATTTATAATAATAAACGCTATTTCTCTCT